ACTCCCCTGAGCATCGTTTCTGGATGGGCTGGTGGGGATACGCGAAGCGTCAACAATTACTATTGCTAGCGATGCTTCGTCGGCACATACACCGGCAACGTTTTAATTCAACAACGACCTGCAAACGACGAAATCTGTAATACCGCATAGACCACCCTTCGGGTGATAAGGAGGCGAGGGGGGGGGGACCACCGTCGCACTCGATCGATCTCACTATCGATCTCGCTATCGATCTCATGATCGATCTCATTCGATCAATCTCACAATCGATCGGGCTATCGATCTCACACTCGATCTCACCGACGATCTCACGATCGATATCACAATCGATCTCACAATAGATCTCACAATCGATCTGGCTATCGATCTCACGATCTATCTCACATTCGGTCTCACGATCGATCTCACTACCGATATCACTATCGATCTCATTCGATCGATCTCACAATCGATCTCACAATCGATCTCACATTCGGTCTCACTATCGATCTCACTATCGATATCACAATCGATCTCACAATCGATCTCACAATCGATCTGACTATCGATCTCACTATCGAACTCACTATCGAAGTCATGATCGACCTCTCGTTCGATCTCACTATCGATCTCACTATCGATCTCACAATCAATATCACAATCGATCTCACATTCGGTCTCACTATCGATCTCACTATCGAACTCACTATCGATCTCACTATCGAACTCACATTGGGTCTCACTATCGACCTCAATATCGATATCACAATCGATCTCGCAATCGATCTCACATTCGGTCTCACTATCGATCTCACTACCGAACTCACCATCATCATCACCATCATCATTATCGTTGTCAACATCATCATCATCATCATCATCATCATCGTCGTCATCATCATCATCATCATCATCATCATCATCATCATCATCATCATCATCACCGACGGGACACCGACGGGACACCGGCGGGACACCGCGGGGCCCCGGCCGCCCGGAAGGGAATCATTTTGTCTGGCCGCGCCTCAGCCACACGGGACACCAGCGGGACACCGGCGGGACACCGCGGGGCCCCGGCCGCCCGGAAGGGAATCATTTGGTCCGGCCGCGCCTCAGCCACACGGGACACCAGCGGTACACCGGCGGGACACCGCGGGGCCCCGGCCGCCCGGAAGGGAATCATTTGGTCCGGCCGCGCCTCAACCACAGGAGACTTTCTCTCGCCCGCCCACGCAGTTTCGCCTCGCCCGCACGGCACGCACGAACACGAAACCGAAATCGATTTCCCGGTAGGGGGGCTCTCCGTTCCACTTCGATCTCACCCCTCACCTCCGATTATTCAAAATACATCACATTGGGTAATCGGTAAGATTGCCCGCATTGATATGTATGTTTCCGTTTACTGGCGCATGGCCGGCCCATTGTAAAATATTGGAATTAAAACAAAAACCGATACGACAAAGAACCCGCACAAGAAAAACCAAAACTATATTTCCCAACGGCAACGGTTGTCGGCGCGTACATGGGCAACGCTTTAATACAATGACGACTTGTGGACTCACGCTGGATAATGCTGCCCGTCATGATCCGACTGCGGTGGTGCACGGCCGGCACGTCAACCGTTACAATTTCACAATTCATTTTGCCGGCCTGCTCGACGACTACGAAATTCCTCGGCCATTATTTCTCCCATGTATCTCCCGTCTTTTTTCCTCCATCTCCAATTATCCTTTCTTCTTGTTTTCTTTCTTCCACTTCCTCCCATCCTCCCCATCCTCCCGGATTTATCCCCTCCCGTCCCTGCTCCCTGTAAGTGTTTTTCAAGTTGAAGCCTTCGTGCAGCAATCGCAATTTGCTTTCCGTCGGCGTGCTTGCCGGTCCGTAAGCTATTCATATGTTGTTGCGTCATGCGCGGAATGGGGGGGGGCCGGAGTGGGGGAAGTGGAGAAGAGGGAGGCCTGAATCGAAGTAGTGGGGGCCAGAATGGGACGGGGCACGCCGTGCTGCAGGGGGATGGCAATGAGGATAGCAATGAGCAAGGCGATACGTTCATGCCAGTTTTTTTTGCCTAGCTTTAATAAAAACTTTTGCGACGTATCGAAGAATGACTACCACCTGGATGTGTACTTCTGGCGTACCTTGACGATATTTATGCTGTTTGTAGATTGTTGAATGCGCTTTTCCCCCCTTCATTTGTCCCACCCGTCGGCGCGAAAAGCATCCGCGAAGTCAGAATGAGGAATTTCCAAGCTCCATGGGAGCGGTGATATTGCCACGCACGCAACCATCTACCGAATGCGCTCTGGTGCGAGCCCAGCAACACTGAGGGGCTTCGTGTGGATTTTCGCACTTCGTGGTCGTGGATTTTCGCAGTTCGCAATTTTGGATTTCCCAAAACTGTCCCTGCGGATTTTCGCAGCTCGTGGTCGAGGTGCAGGTCGTCCGAGAATTACCACAAGTTTCTGCCGAGATGGTGGTCGGCAGGGGGTGCCGGCTTGCCCCTCGAAGATCACCAGTGGCTCCCAGATCTTCTGCTCACAGGGTCCTCCTCCTTCCCCTCCTCCTCCTCCTCCTCCTCCTCCTCCTCCTCCTCCTCCCCGTCCTCCTCCTCCACCTCCTCCTCCTCCTCCCACCTCCCACCTCCTCCTCATCCTCCTCCTCCTCCCCCTCCTCCTCCTCTCCTCCTCCTCCTCCTCCTCCTCCTCCTCGTCTTCCTCCCCGAGGGCGCCCCCTCCTCACCATCACTGAGGCGAGCGATAACCGTTCGCTCAGCTGATTGAGCTGTCTTGACGAACGAACTATTGGAGCTGCGTTGAGGATTGCTTTCGCGTTGGCAAATGTGGTATTGGGGCTGACTTGATGACCGTTGTGGGCGCTTCTCAAGACATGCGCCGCATCAGCCACTGGGTTGTACTCAAAGCGCACGTAGTAGGTCGCGGCGTTGCCCTGGGTTCAGTCAGGTGGCGCACGAGCGACGGCGATTTCTGCAGACCAACCGATATCGTGAAGTGTGCCTGTTCAAAATCCCTTGCCGCCGTGGAAAAATCGATTGGCCTGGATGCGCACTGCTGCAACGCAAATTGTGACTATTATGCGTATGCGCGTGCACAAAAATATTGAACTTTTTTCCGCTCAACAGAATCCTTCTGGGGACTTCTAATGTAAATACGGAATCCGTTTCCTTCGAATTTGCAGCCGCAATGTTTGTCGCAAATCGGTGCCTGAGCTGCCCTCCAATATTTCCTTTGTTTCTGGATTCTTTCCAGCAAGACTCCCCGGCCACCATCTATTGGTCTGGGTGATCCGGTGCACCACAAAACAGAACACAACAGTGAAATCACGAAGCGCCTGTGTTAGACGAGTTGTGTGTTCGAGTGTAAGAGTATGATTTGAGCTCGTTTTAGTGAAGCTCGTGATGTCGCTTGCTCAACGGAGTTGCTGTACAACAGTTGTTATGCAGTCTGGAACATGTGTGGCATTTCGTTTTCGTTGGTCCCAATCGATTGAACAATTGTCAGGGTACTAATTTGCGCAGTACTTGGCTGGTTCATCATGCAAATTACGTCAGGAAGTCAAACATAATTTGAAACTAACCCAGCAAACTTATCAACCTCCGCTGTATTCTAAATGAGCACTCCAGTGGAAGTGCGCGTGCATTAAATTCAATGGTTGCAGGTTGACATTCCGTTGACTTTGGCAACGTTGGGAAAACTGTAATGCCTTAAATCGTTACGTGGATGCGCCGTGTGATGGCTAAGCGTGGCATTGCATGCAACGCTAAACCTCAAACCATCGAGTAACCAATTTTTAGCGTCGAGTGCTTCGGGAGTATGGGATACAACTTAAGCATAAACTGGTGGCGTGGTGGGTGCAAGTTGGCGTGTATACACCGATGATGACCAAGAGAGTGGTCACATACTAGAAACTGTGCAATCTGTCATAATCGACGCACGAATACGCAATTGTGCGAATATCCCGGATTTGGAATTGACGTTTGGCGGCATTGCCGTATTACCGAGTAGCAGCCCTAGTTTTCTACAATTCTTGTCCAATTAGTCAACTAACAGACAACGTAACATGCACGACCCGCCTCTCCTGAATCGCAGGCACCACCGACAGACGATCCTCATCCAATATATTCATGGCGTGGCCTTGCCCTACGTCTACCTCCAGGCATACGTGGGCTTCTGGATGGATGGACATGGTTAGGACATCAACTTAGGATACAGTGGAGGCCCGACCACAAGAAACCTTCCACAAGAAACCCAACCCTGAGACCTCATGACGTCCATTATTTTTTGTGTGGGACACGCCTTCCACAGCAAACCCATCGAAACCCAAGAAACCCAGGGCACCCTGGAGTCAAGCAGGGTGTTTCTTGGCATGGGCCTCTACTGCACATGAACACACAAACAAACCCGTACTATGAAAGCTGCGCCGCGTTCTGACACACTTCCTGGCAACTGTGTGGGCCACGTCAGTGCCGCAGGCCGAGGGCCGCATTTCTGGAGCTGACTGTGTATGGAACTGGCACAGCTGATTCTGACTTTGCTCCCTTGGATGATGGCTCTCAGGGAAGGATGCAAGAACGAATGAGTGCTTAGCAAACACGAGGGTCATGTTTTGATGAGTCCGTCCCGCCAGCAACACCCACGACAACAAAGCAATCGTGAGCCCAGACATCGAAGGCATCCACAAGGTCCAAGAAAGCGTTGTTTGACGATTCGTGATGACGCTTGTTACTTGGACCAGCCACACCCCCTTCCGCTTCCCGGGTGCATCCCGGGGAGACCTGCAGGGGAGACCCGCGGAGGCCTCCACTGAGACCTCTGGGGGCATCTTGAGGTCTCTGGAGGCCTCTGGACGACGTCGCTCGTCATGGCCGTCGTTGTTCCTATATCTGCTCCACAGGACGCAGAAATAACTTGCGAAACTACTTAGGACTGCCACGAATTCAATACTCTCTCATCCGAAACCGCTGGTGTAGTTGGAAGGGGAGCTCATGACCAAATCGATCTTTTCTTCCGCTCTCGCGCGACATAGGGACTCAGATCACATGCCACGATCGACGCATGGTCCGTGGCTCATGACTGGTTGAAGATGGTAAGTGCGCAGAGCTGACCCACTCCCCTTCATTGCCCCGACAATCATTTGTCGGATGCCTCCCCAGCCATGCAACCGGCAAGATCAGACAAATGCCGCGTGCTCCGTTGCAAGATCGCTATGCCCCCAATTTCGTTCTTGCCTGGACGGGGGGAATGCGTTCGACACCGAGGGTGTCGGGCTATCGCTGGAGACTCTCTCGAAATTCATGCAGGACTAACGCTTCAACGATCCGTCCGCCCGACCCGCCCGTTTGGGTCCGCCCGCCCGACCAGGCCGTCAGGGTTCACCCGCCCGGCTCCTAACCCAAACAGCAGAGGAGTCGTCTGGGTACATGCATATCTTCGCCGAGACATTTTTTCCTTCGTCTTGTTGGGCAGCATCCGTCGTGACTGATTGATTGTCCAAGGGAAGAGAGACATCATGTAGCCAGAAAGGGACACTAAGAAGAGCCAGAAGGGGTGTATGGGACCAGCATGTGTTAAGCGGGTCGACAGGGAGTCAACCTACTCCATTTCTCCTTGCGTCCTTGGGTCCTTGGCGCACGTCCCGCTGATGTAAACCTCCACCTCTCCTTCCATTCCCTCCTTTTCTTCCTCCGTTCTACTCCTCCGTCCTCCTCTTCCGTCCTCCCCATCCTCCTCCGTCCTCTTCCGTCTCACCCGTCCTTCTCCTCTTCAGTCCTTCTCACCCGTCCTCCTCTTCCATCATGCCCCAAGCAACGCTTGCACTTAGGTCGGTCTGACGGCTATGTGATCGCCATCGCCGCACCGTCGCCGCCCTTCGCCTCAGCCGTGTGGTCGGTGTGGCGGCTATGTGGTCGCCGTTGCCGCCACGTCGCCGCGTCGTCGCCCCCTGTCGTCTGGGCCTGCCTGTCGGTCTGGCGACTATCTTGTCGCAGTCGCCACCTTGACATAAACTTCACCATATAAATGACACCGCGTAGATTACACAACACATATTACACGACATAGCTTGCACAACAGAGGCTGCACGGCATAGGTTGCACCGCGTGGATTGCACAACATACGTTGCACCACATAGGGTGCGCAAGATTTACTCTTTTTTTCCAAAGAAAACAGATAGACTCTACCCCCCCCCGGGATTCTCCGCTCCCCTTTGCAATTTACATTTGACTCTGCCCCATCGTCCATCCTGAATATGAGCTCGCACCACCCCAAAAGGGGGCCGGTATCCGCCCCCCGCCATCCCCCGCAAAAGTATTACGCGCGCGCACCCGTTAATCAAACATCAGCAACTGTCAAACAACCCGTGCAACAAACTCGACTAAGTGCACACGCGCGCGTCGCCGCGCGGGCATGCCGAAATCGTTCACACACGTTGGTCTCGCAAGGATCTCGAAACCGACTGTCCAAACATCTCTAAGAAACGCTGGGTTTCGCAACGCGAATTCTCAACGCAAAGAACACATGCGTTCTTGCAAAGTCTTCGCACAACCATCGTTTTTTCCATGATCTTCAATACATGTTACCCAACGGGCTTCTCGCGCGCATGTCGAAATCGTTCGAACGCCCTTGCGCGCGTGCCGTCGCGAGAACCCTTTGCAACATATAAGACGAATTGCGCACGTGCGCGTTGTGGCGCGCGCGGGTGTCGAAATGCGTCATCAACCTTCGGTTCCGTAGCGAACTACAACCGAATGTCCAGCACACATCTAAAACCACATGGTTTCGCAACGACCGTTTTCAACAAAGCGTGCGCTTGCGCTCTTGAGAATTGTTTCGGAAACCATACGTTTTTTTCATATAGAATTCTGCCAAACTGGCCTCTGTCGCCGCATGTCGACATTATTCGCACGCCCCTGCGCGCGTGCTCGGGGGGGGGGGTGGGGGCACGATCCGTGTCAAATCGTACCATGCGTGCCAGTCTTGCGCGTCGGCCGCCCGCGCATGCCGAAATCTTTCCAAAACCTTTCATCCCCGATGCGGGGGCGCCGTCAATCGTCGCCGGCGTGACCAGCATTGGCGCCCGCACTGGCTTGGCCGTCGTCGCTGCCAACATCGTCACCAGCATCGCTACTATCATCATCGTGGCTACCGTTGTCGACGTTGCCATGATGCCGCGCCCGCCCAAGTCGCCGACTCGCACTGGAATGCCTGATGGGATGTGCCCAGCGGTCAGCGCCACCGCGGCCGCGTCGGTCGCGCCAAACTAGCTGGCCACAGTGCGCGCGAGCGTGCGCGGGCCAGAGCGGCCGCAGATATGCACCAGCCAGTGCCAAGCACTCATCGCACTCGCCACCGCATGGGTTTTGCAAGCCACGTTTCGGGTGGGTGGGTGGGATGATTGCCTGAGCGGTGGGGCCGACAAGTTCAAGTTCGGCATGGGGAATTGCGCCGCGTAGATCTCACCACGAGGTATACACAACACATGTTGCACCATATGAGTGGCAACGCTTCGGCTGCACCACAGGCTCCGCCCAGCATAATTTGATTCGCCTATATTGCACAACGTGAGCTGCGCAACATATATTGCACCACATATAATGCAACAACTACTGCACCACGTAGATCACGCAACATATTTTACATACCGTATACGGCGTCACGTCGATTGAACCAAGTAGGCTCACCGCATAGTTCGCGCAACACATATCGAAGCGGATGCGTGGAACCACGCGTGGTACGCAACATATATTGCGCCACGAAAGACGCACGACATATACTGGACCACGCATGTCGCACCGCATAATTATCAGAGTGAGGGGGCTGACCCAAACGGTCATTCACTGACCCTGGGTGCGTGGCTGAAATGGAATTCCGCGATGCGGATTCTTGCTGTTGTTAGTTGTTTGTTGTTGTCGCCGTCCCACCCGCGACCCGCCCCGCGACCCACCCCGCGACCCACCCCACGACCCACCCGCCACCCACCCCGCGACCTACCCGCGACCCACCCCGCGACCCACCCGCGACCCACCCGCGACCCACCCGCGACCCACCCGCAACCCACCCAGCGACCCGCCCGCGACCCACCCCGAGACCCCTCCGGCGACCCACCCGCGACCCACTGGCGACCCAGTGGCGACCCACCCGCGACCCACTCCGCGACCCACCCGCGACCCACCCGCGACCCACCCGCGACCCACCCGCGACCCACCCCGCGACCCACCCAAAATTTCCGGCGCCTGCGACGGGTTTCTTTTGCATTCGTTCCAGGTGGACAACCTGCGACCCACCCGCGACCCAAACAAAGCCCGCGACCTACCCGCGATCCACCGCGAACCATCTGCGACCCACCCGCGACACACCCCGCGACACACCCAGAATTTTCGACGCCTGCGGCGGGCTTCTTTTGCATTCGTTCCAGGTGGAGAACCTGCGACCCACCCGCGACCCAAACCGCGCTCAGTGTTCATATCAAAATGTTCCGGCGCTTGCGGCGGGCTGTTTTCGAATTCCTTCCAGCTGGAGGTGGAGAGCCCGCGACACACCCGCGACCCAAACTACTCTCACCGAGCAAGCCAAACATTCGGCGCGTGCGGCGGGTTTCTTTGCACCATTCGTTCCAGGTTTAAGTCGGGCCTGTCCCCCTACAGGGTGATTTCCGACGAAAAATAAAGCATTGGGGATTTTTTTGGGGATATGGTTTGACCTTTTTGGGGCATTAGGGGGGACGCGCCCGACATAATTCCAGGTGGAGAACCTGCGAGTCAAACTGGTTCAGTGTTCAAATCCAAACTTTCGGCGCCTGCGGCGGGCTGTTTTTACATTCCTTCCAGCTGGAGGTGGAAAGCCCGCGACACACTCGCGACCAAAACTACTCTCACTGAACAAGCCAAACATTCGGCGCCTGCGGCGGGCTGTTTTTGCATTTGTTCCGGGTGGCCCACCAGCGATCCCCCCCGCGCTGAACTTGTCAGAGCACGAGGAGGAGGAGGAGGAGGAGGAGGAGGAGGAGGAGGAGGAGGAGGAGCAGGAGCAGCAGGAGGAGGAGGAGGAGGAGGAGGAGGAGGAGGAGGAGGAGGAGGAGGAGGAGGAGGAGGAGGAGGAAGGGGGGCGCCATCGACACGGAAGGTGAGTGCCACGAGGTCCGCCGGCTCGACGCCCGCGTCGCCCGCGCCCGCCCCCTCACTCTTATCCGCAATTGCGGGGTGCTACGTATTGCACTACGTCGATTGCACGGCCTAGACTGCACTGAATTGTGCGCGACACATCTTGCTAGAACGCACTGCGACTTGGGTCCAAGCCCGGGACCTTTCGCCAACGCCATAACGTGAACGTTGTATCAATCAGCTGCCTGACACCTTCGGTCACGCCAACAGGCGGATGCAACGAAGGCGTCATGTCCGTAGCCTCTTTTTCCCAGGGCCCCTGCAACACAATGGCAGGGAGCTCGGGACCTGTCGCTCGCACCGTAAGCGTGAACGTTGTATCAATCAACTGTCTGCCGTCAGAGGCTGCACGAACAGGTGAATGCGCGCTGGTGGCGTTGGGTCCACGAGCTGCTCAGACATAGTCTGGGCGAACCCAGGAGCAGGCGCCAGGAGGGAAGGCGCGGGGGCGCGGTCCTTGGAGATGATGTTCTTGGACATCTACGGGTGCGGCTCCCCCGTCGCGAAAGACTGGTAGAGCAACGCGAGGGCGATCCAGCCCTTGGACGGGCTGGAATGTTGAACGCGGGGAATTCGAAGAGCTCGAAAGCGAGGCCCTTGAATCTGCTGACCTTGCTTATGTTGAATCAGGAGATCCGGGCGGGTTGCTGCCGCTTTCGGCGAATGCTGGGAATAGAGCGCCACGCGGGCCACGGCGGCAATGGATCACGGAGCCGAAGCTCCGCTACCAACTGCTGGTCGCGGTCGTGGTGGTGGTGGTGCGGCTGGTCGTGGCCGTCGTGGTGGTCCTGCTGGTCGCAGTTGTGGTGCTGCTGCCTCTTTACTAGTTTGTAGCAGTGCTGGCGCCAGTGGGGGCAGTCCTTGCTGTCGCTCTGGTGCTGCTTCTGGCGGTTCGCCGCCTCTGGGCAAACTGTCTGCGTGTGGCCTTCGATTTTGTTACCAGTCCCACGCATGC